TGAGAGATTTAATTTGTTCCCCTTCCAGGCCCAGGAGTTTCCGGATCCAGAGAAGCAACAATTGAAGCTGCATACTCCGACGTCTCACAAAATAGCGGGCTCCCCACAAGTCACGCCCAAATTACACAGCCGCCAGCCCAGCGGGTCCCCCGTACCCAGTACACGGGATGTTACCAATGGTGTTCAGAACCAAGAAGACGGATCACAAGTAGATGGCAGGACAAGTGGGGAGACGGCACCTGTAGAGCCAGGTGAGTGAGGGACTGCTGTGCCCGTCCGTCCCATGTCATAGGATACTGCCTAACTTGTGTTCTCATGTATGCAGCACCGGAGAACATGGCGGCTCCTGGAGACAAGGCTCCGTGTCATCAGTATGGGGTACAGGAGGCGCCCCCTCGTCCGGATGGGGTACAGGAGGCGCCCCCTCGTCCGGATGGGGTACAGGAGGCGCCCCCTCGTCCGGATGGGGTACAGGAGGCGCCCCCTCGTCCGGATGGGGTACAGGAGGCGCCCCCTCGTCTGGATGGGGTACAGGAGGCGCCCCCTCGTCTGGATGGGGTACAGGAGGCACCGCCTCAGGATGGGGTACAGGAGGCACCGCCTCATGGTGAGCAGTTCCCTGAGAGGTCAAAATCCAACACTCAAGGTGTGTATCCCCTTCTGCTATATTGGGGGGGGGCTAGTCAGGACAGAATTGGTCTCCCGGATATACTTATGAAATGTTTCTCTTTGCAGAGGTGGAAGTTCCGCTCAGTGTTCCGGGTGATGCCGGGTTCCGGGGTGTTCCGGGTGATTCCGGGTTCCGGGGTGTTCCGGGTGAGCCAGAAGTCGCTGGGTTTTCTCCCCCTGAGAGTGTTCAGACCAATGGGATTGCGTACGACAGACAGTCCGTGTCTTCTACAGATAATCTGGTATGTGACCTGTTGTGGACTATCCATTGACATTCTATAGTCTTTGGTTATTGGGGGGAGGGGGAAGCAGCAGCTGATTGGGCAGTCACATTGCTTGTCTAGAAGTAACGATGGTGCGAATGGCAGAACGGATGGAGGATTAGTGTGACCCGGGTTCCTCCGGCGCCGCTCTGGTGCTTCTGTCCAGTCCACACCCATTTCATGCGGTACGCTAAAGTCCTTCTTCTTTGCCACCTTTGTCCCATCTGCAGCGAAGTCCATGCAAGTACCACTGGACTGTGCTCGGGCCCCACACAACCTCGCCACGCTCTCTGGCCTCGGGTTACTCTTCCTATTGGGGCCGCTGAGTCCCATTTCAAAGCTGGGGACCCTTCCAACCTATGAGGGCTGCCCTTTCCCCAGATCCCCATAGGCCAGGACATGTACCCCACCAGTCATGCCGTTTCCCTGGATTCCCATAGGCCAGGACATGTACCCCCCCAGTCATGCCGTTTCCCTGGATTCCCATAGGCCAGGACATGTACCCCCCCAGTCATGCCGTTTCCCTGGATTCCCATAGGCCAGGACATGTACCCCCCCAGTCATGCCGTTTCCCTGGATTCCCATAGGCCAGGACATGTACCCCCCCAGTCATGCCGTTTCCCTGGATTCCCATAGGCCAGGACATGTACCCCCCCAGTCATGCCGTTTCCCTGGATTCCCATAGGCCAGGACATGTACCCCCCCAGTCATGCCGTTTCCCTGGATTCCCATAGGCCAGGACATGTACCCCCCCAGTCATGCCGTTTCCCTGGATTCCCATAGGCCAGGACATGTACCCCCCCAGTCATGCCGTTTCCCTGGATTCCCATAGGCCAGGACATGTACCCCCCCAGTCATGCCGTTTCCCTGGATTCCCATAGGCCAGGACATGTACCCCCCCAGTCATGCCGTTTCCCTGGATTCCCATAGGCCAGGACATGTACCCCCCCAGTCATGCCGTTTCCCTGGATTCCCATAGGCCAGGACATGTACCCCCCCAGTCATGCCGTTTCCCTGGATTCCCATAGGCCAGGACATGTACCCCCCCAGTCATGCCGTTTCCCTGGATTCCCATAGGCCAGGACATGTACCCCCCCAGTCATGCCGTTTCCCTGGATTCCCATAGGCCAGGACATGTACCCCCCCAGTCATGCCGTTTCCCTGGATTCCCATAGGCCAGGACATGTACCCCCCCAGTCATGCCGTTTCCCTGGATTCCCATAGGCCAGGACATGTACCCCCCCAGTCATGCCGTTTCCCTGGATTCCCATAGGCCAGGACATGTACCCCCCCAGTCATGCCGTTTCCCTGGATTCCCATAGGCCAGGACATGTACCCCCCCAGTCATGCCGTTTCCCTGGATTCCCATAGGCCAGGACATGTACCCCATCAGTCATGCCCTTTCCCCGGATTCCCATAGGCCAGGACATGTACACCAGGGCTGAAAATTTCAGGTCATGAGCTACTAGCCAGGCCTGAAAAGTTACTCGCCACTAGTTGCCCTGCATAACACAACACACAGGGCACGACGCACAGAGCATTACACATATAGTCACAGCACACACATGGCACCCCGACCTATCTCTATATCCCCCTCAATTACCTGCTGGCAGGGGCCTGACACTTGGGACTAACTCTGGTCCCATGCATAGTTATTGCAGCTCAGGCTGCATGAAGGGGACCTGCGGCACAGTAAGCTGCTGGGGCCCCTCCCGTGGTCTGCCAGTCCCACCCCAGGGCTTCCCCTGTATTGGGACGTCCGTGAAGTCACGGTGTTCTATCATTCCATTGGACCCGTGACTTTATCGGATCGGATTAAAGTTATGGGATGATGGAACATTGGAACAGACACAGTACGTGACACACTCACCCACTGCTCTGTAAAAGTGAAACTACAGCTCCCATAATGCTCGGTGCGCAGGCAGGAAGTTATGCTGTCGCTAGGATACAAGAACGGATGTCGTCATGCGGCCATCTTTAATATGGGAAGATGCACGGCTGTGAGCAGCAGCATAAGGGCAAGTCATCTAAGATCCCTCCGGGGATGACTGACTCAGTGGCTTCATTTCCACTCGCCCCCTCACAATTTCCAATGCCGTTTCATTGAAGAAGTTGGTGTGTTGAGGATTTGTCTGATTTCTTCTTCTGTGCAGGAATTGGACTCTCTTCCGGGTCAGCATTCTGGTGCCAAGTTCACTCACATCCTCCAGAAAGACGCGTTCTTGGTGTTCCGTTCCCTCTGCAAACTATCCATGAAACCCCTGGGAGACGGACCCCCGGACCCCAAGTATGTCCCCTTCCTCTCCGTGGATTGTGTCGTACGATTTATCTGAAGTCGCTGCGTCGGTTCCATGTTGGTTCTGTGTTGGTTCCGTGTAGGTCGCAGAGTGGATCAGAATTAGACATTTTGGGTTGGAACTAGAAATGCAGTTAAAAGTTTCTGAGGGGAAAAACCTTTTATTGGTGGAAATTATGATTTTCTGAGGCGGCACCCCCCGGTGATTACCCTCCGCGACCTGGAGAAGGGGCCCCGTGTCTCCAAACCTCGCTACCAGTCATACTTCCATCAGACCTAATAAATATCATAACCCCCAAAAATGATTGATTAATCCC